CCCCTCCCTTTCCCCACTTGCTTCCCCCTCTCCCTCCCTGTTTCTCTCTCTGCCTCTTTGCTTTCTTCTTCCTATTTCAACGTTGTTCCTTATCTCTTGAAGTCTCCCTTTTCCTGACATCTTTCCTGCCCTCCATCTCTCTGCTGCTTTTGTGCTGACTGGCTTGCCTCACCGGCAGGGGAAACAGCATGGGCCATGTGTCAACTTCGGTGGTCTGAGAGGTAAAGGCCGCTTCTAGGAAGAAGGTACGTGTGGCATGTGGGGCGTGGCATGTGGGTCGGCAGTGGGCCTTGTCTGTGTGGGTTCAGAGAGAGATCTTGTTAATGGGCAGCCGTCCCCACTGCTCCCTATTCCAGGCCCTACTATCAACAGCTTTCCCTTTTCAGCTTTTTTTCTCCCTCAACTCCTGCTCATTACCCGCCTCTTCTCAGAAGCAGGGGCTTTAGCTTCCTCTTTCATACCCTTCTGTTGCCATGCTGCTTTCTTAAGGGATGGAGAGTTTTGAAAGCTAGAGGGGGACACTCTGCTGGCTGGAATCTGTCCCCAGAGCTTGGGAGATTATGCCTTAGACCTGTTTCCTGAGGTCAGGTTCTTCCACAGCTACACCTGGCTTTCCTAGGCCCCTGTTTTCCTTCCTTCCTTTGGGGGACCGCCTTGTGTGGGGGCCAGGATGCCCCAGTACTAAATTCCATAGGCAGAGCTCTGGGTTAGCAGAAGGACCTCACTAGCTCTGTGACACTGGGACTCTTAGAAAACTGAGAAGCCAGGTGGCACCTGTGGCTCCGTGGGTAGGGCGCTGGCCCTATATACCAAGGGTAGCAGGTTCGAAACCAAGCCCCTGCCAAACTGCAACACAAAATAGCCAGAGGTTGTGACAGGTGCCTATAGACCCAGCTACTTGGGAGGCTGAGGCAAGAGAATTGCCTAAGTCCAAGAACTGGAGGTTGCTGTGAGCTGTGACACTCTAACAAGGGCAACAAAGTGAGACTCTGTCTCTAAAAAAAAAAGAAAAGGAAAGGAAAACTGAGAAGCCAAACCTTCAGCAGGAGGAGAGACCGGGTCAGTTCTGGACACCTGGAGCTGGTGACGTGATGGGAAGAGCTGGGGTTTGGTGCCACCCTGCCCCAGGGTGAATCCCAGCTCTGTTCCCTACCCGTTCTGTGTCTTTTGACTACTTATCTCTTAGAGTCTGATTTCCTCCTATAAAATCAACCTGATACTTGGGTTTTGTGAGGATGAGGGGAGTTAGTTGCTTGTCTGGTGCAGCACCTGGCACTGTGTGAGGCTCACGAATACTTAGTAAAGCTTCTCTAATGCAAAGT